AATAAAAGTAGTAAAGGCTGATGAAAATGGACAGAGAGATAACAGGAAACTACAAATAAAAAGCAACCCCAATCTGAGAGCCCACTCCTCAGCTCTGTCTCTGCAGCCAGCTTCCCTGCTCTGGTACCTGGAAGCTCTGCCACGCTCAGACACCTGGTCTTTTTGTGACCCCATGGGTCATGAGAGCACATTCTCATGAGAGCCCTCCCATGAGGGCTCCACCCCTCACTTTGGAGCGGTGTCCCTCAGTGGAGCAGACTTCTAAAAGTTCCGATTTTGTGCTTCACTGCTCTACTCCTTGCCGGGAGCCATCCCTTCCCCTAGAGTCTCTCTTCCCACGTATCACCTCGGATTCACTTCTCCGCATGTCTTACCTTCCAGAAAGTGGTTGCTTTTCTGTTCCTAGAACTGCTGCTCCTCTTCTCTTCATTCTCCTGCTGAGTTATAGGTGTTCAGAATGGTTTGATAACTATCTAGCTGAACTCCTGGAACCTGATGATATTTAGGTCTCCTACTCCTCATTTTGGTCCAAGACTTGACAATTTTCAAGGCTACATAACTTCAATAGAAAAGAATAATACAGGTAATGTCCCAAAGACGATGATACATGAAACTATCTGATGAATATAGTTGTAAAAAATGTTATTAAAGAAATCCCAGTAATGCTTGGTTGCTTCAGTAAGAGAAAATCTGTCAACATAACTCAAAATACCCCTCCCATTGTTGGAGAAAAATAATGTGTTGATACCAATAGATTCTGAAAAATCCTTTGATAAAAATCAGCAGTAATGCCTAATAAGAATTCAATTAAGAGAAAAATAGATTTAAGCTATTTAAATAGCATAAAACTTTTTCAAACAAAACTTACATCATATAATGAAAATGTCATTCTTATCTGAATTAATATGTAAGTCCAATGAAATTACATGTAGAATTTCATTTTGTAATGATTGGATCATAGCACTTTAAAATTTATATAAACATAAACAAATACAAATTCCTAAGGATAACTAATGGAAGCCTTGATTTACCAAAAAGCAGAACTATAATGCTAGTATAATCAAATCATTGTGGTGTTCGGACAAGAACAGACAAATTAAGAAGTACAATAGCATAATAATATCCAGAAATAGTTAACAGTATATATGATTTTTTAAATCATAGCAAGAATGCTGTTTAAATTCAGTGTAGGGGGAAAATGGCATATTCAGTAAACGGGGTTGGCACACTTGGATATACATTTTGAAGAAAATTGAACTGTCTAATATAAATTAAAAATTTATAGAAAGTAATTTTTAATCAAATAAAGGATCTTTTTTAAAGACTTTATTCATTTATTTGTCAGGCAGAGACAGATCACAAGCAGGGGGAGCTGCAGGCAGAGGGAGGAGCAGGCTCCCTGCTGAGCAAGGAGCCCAATGCAGGGCTCAATCCCAGCACTCTGGAATCATGATCTGAGCCAAAGGCAGATGCTTAGGTGACTGTGCCACTCAGGTGTCCCTAAATAAAGGATTAAAAAAAAAAATACTTATTTATTTTAGAGACAAAGAGTTTAGGAGGATGAGCAGACTCTACACTGAGCCCACAAGGGGCTGGATCTCAGGACCCTGAGATCATGCCCTGAGCTGAAATGAAGAGTCAGATGTTGAAGTGACTGAGCCACCCAACCACTCCTCAAATAAAGGACTTTAATGTACATGAAAAGAAACATAAAATAAATTGAGAAAAATAATATTAAACTTGAATAGGAAATGTCACCATCAGCTTATGACTTCCTTTTACTTCTTTTTTTCCTGCAATTTTAATTACACAGTACTCATCACTACAAGTGCACTCCTTAATTCCAATCACCTATTCATCTTCTCACCCACCTCCCCTCTGGTAACCATCACTCTGTTCTCTATAGTTAAATCTGTTGCTTGGGCATGCTTGGATGGCTCAGTTGGTTAAGCGTCCCACTTCATTTTGGCTCAGGTCCCACATCGGGTGCTACACTGAGCATGGAGCTTGCTTGGGATTCTCTCTTTCCCTTCTCTGCTCCTCCTACCATCCCCCACCATGTTCATGCTCTCTCAAAAATAAAGAAAAAATTTTTAAAAATTAAAAAAAAATGTCTATTGCTTTGTCTTTTCCCCCTATTGCTCATTTGTTTTCATTTGTTTCTTAAGTTCCACATAGGAATGAAATCATACAGTATTTGTCTTTCTCTGATTTCATTTAGCATCACATTTTCTAGATTCATCCATGTCATTATAAATGGAAAAGTTACATTTTTATGGCTGAGCAATATATATTCTCATTCTCTTTCCCACTTGTGTTCCCTTTATCTATTTATCTGCCAGATAAATTTTAAAAAAATCTTTTAAAAAAAGGCATTACAATTCTATAAAAGAATTTTTATTTATTTCAGAGAGAGCGAGATAAAGAGCATGCACAAGCAGGGGGAGGACCAGAGGGAGAGGGAGAAGCAGCCTTCCCACTGAGCAAGGAGCTTGATATAGGGCTCAATCCTAGGACCTCAAGATCATGACCTGAGCTGAAGGCAGATGCTTAACCAACTGAACCACCCAAGTGCTCCTATTTTTAACTCTTTGAGGAACCTCCATACTGTTTTCCAGAGTGGCTGTATGAGTTTGCATTCCCTCCAAGAGAGCGAAAGTGTTCCTTTATCTTCATATCCTCAACACTAATGGTTTCTTGTGTTTTTTATTTTAACCATTCTGACAGATGTGAGGTGATATCTCATTATAGTTTTGATTTGTGTTTCCTGTTAAGTGATAATGAGTAGCTTTTCATGTGTATCTTGTCCATCTGTATGTCTTTGTTGGAGAAATGACTCTTCATGTCTTTTCCATGTTTTTAAATTGGATTATTTGGATGTTGTGTTTTATCAGTTCTTTATATATTTTGGATACTAACCCTCTACTGAATATGTCATTTGCAAATATCTTCTTCCATTCTGTTGGTTGCCTTTTAGCTTAGTTAATTGTTTCCTTCACTATGCAGAAGATCTTTACTTTTATGTAGTCACAATAGTTTATTTTGCTTTTGTTTCCCTTGCCTCATTGTGCCTGTCTAGAAAAAAAGTTGATACAGCTTATGTCAAAGAAATTACTGCCTATCCTTTTTTTTAAGGTTTCAAGTCTCACATTTAGGTGTTTAATCCATTTTGAGTTTACTTTTGTGTATGGTATAAGAAAGTGGTCCAGTTTCATTCTTTTGCCTATTGCTGTCCAGTTTTCCACTTTTTACCATGGGGTATCCTTTACTGCTTTGTTGAAGATTAATTTACCATTTAATTGTGGGTTTTTTTTCTGCATCTTCTATTCTGTACCATTGACCTATGTGCCTATCTTTGTGCCAGTACCATATTCTTTTGATTACTACAGCTTTCTAATATAACTTGAAATTCAGAATAACTGTGATGCTTCCAGTTTTGCTTTCCTTTTTCAAAATTGCTTTGGCTTTTCAGGATTTTTGTGGTTTCATACAAATTTTAGGGTTGTTTGTCCCAGCTTTGTGAAAAGTGCCATTGGTATTTTGATAGGGACTGCACAAAATGTATAGATTGCTTTGGGTAGTATAGATATTTGATAGATATATATAGATATTTGCTCTTCCAATCCATGAGTGAGCAATAACTATCCATTTCTTTGTGTCATTTTCAATTTTTTTCATCAGTGTTTTATGGTTTTCAGAGTAAAGGTCTTTGATTTCTTTGATTAGGATATATCTAGGTATCTTATTGTTTTTGGTGCAATTGTAAATGGGACTAATTCCTTTATTTCTCTTTCTGGAGCTTCATTATTAGTGAATAGAAGTGCTACAGACTTCTCTAGATTGATTTTGTATCCTGCAACTACTGAATTCCTGCATCAGTTCTGTTTTTTGCTGGAGGCTTTTGGGTTTTCTATACATAGTGAAAATTTTACTTCCTTAACACTCTGGATGGATTTTCTTCCTTTTTGTTGTCTAATTACTGTGGCTAGGACTTCCAGTACTATGTTGAATAAAAGTGGTGAGGGGGGGCATACATAGCTTGTTTCTGACCTTAAGGGAAAGGCTCTTAGTTTTCCCCCATTTAGAGAGATGTTAGTTCTGGGTTTTTCATAGATGGCCTTTATTATGTTGAGGTATGTTCCCTCTGAACCTATTTTGTTGAGGGTTTTTAATCACGAATGGATGGTGTACTATGTCTAGTGCTTTTTCTGCATCTATTGAAATGATCATATGGTTCTTTCCTTTCTCTTATTGATGTGATGTGTCATGTTGATTGATTTGTGAGTATTGTACCTCCTTTGCAACCCTAGAAATAAATCTCACTTGTTCATGGTGAATGTTTTTTTTAATGTGGTTGGATTTAGTTTGCTAATATTCTTTTGTGAATTTTTGTGTTTATGTTCACCAGAAATACTGGCCTTAGTTCTGTTTTTTTTTTTGTAGTGTCTTTATCCAGTTTTGGTATTAGGGTAATATTAGTCTCATCGAATGGAATTAGAAGTTTTGCTTACTTTTTCAATTTTTTTTTATTACTTTGAGAATAATAAGTGTTAACTCTTCTTTAAATGTTTGGTAGAATTTGCCTGTGAAGCTATCTAGTCCTGGACTTTTGCTTGTCAGTTTTTTGATTGTTGATTCCATCTCTTTGCTGGTTATCAATCTGTTCAAATTTTTTATTTCTTCTTGTTTCAGTTTTGATGATGTTTCTAGGAACTTAACCAATTCTTCTGCATTGTCTATTTGTTGGCATATAGTTTTTCATAATACTCTCTTACAATTGTTTTTCTGTGGTGTTTTTTACCTCTCCATTGTGACTTTATTTAATTGCATACTTTCTTTTTTTTTCTTAATATGTATGGCTAGAAGTTTATCAATTTTAATAATTTTTTTCAAAGAATCAGTTCCTGGTTTCATTGACCTGTTCTATTGATTTATGTTTTGTTTTGTTTAGTTTCTGTATCATTTATTTCTGCTCTAATCTTTGTTATTTCCTTCCTTCCTACATCTCAAAGGCCTCACATTTATTACCAAACCAACTGACTGGTGCAGAGCTATAGTAACAGAAAATTCTTTCGCTGATAAATGGTATCTATTGGCCAGGCAGAAAGGTGTTTACAGGGTGATGGAATAGAACACATGATCTTCAGTAGCTTAATTAAATACGTGGTGCCCATTAGGTGTGACATCGCGTGATGTGGGATGCCTTAGAGACCCAGCTTGGTTCTCCTCCAGTGCCTCCTCTTGGAGTTGTACCTGATTTTATTACCAGTTTTCATCCGAATCCACTGGGGAATGGGATGATTCTGCTTTTGTTTCTTGGCCAGGAATCGCTTGATCCTGAAAGTCTTGTGAGAAGACATGGTCAATTAACAGCCAGCGGCACACAGCAGGATGGCGGTGAAAAAGAGCTGGTTTTAGGTTTTATTTGATGTTCTTTTTCTAGCTCCTTTTGGTGTAAGGCTAAGTTGTTTATTTGACATTTTTCTTACTTCTTGAGGTAACCCTGTATTGCTGTATACTTCCTTCTTAGAACCACTTTTCTTGTATCCCAAAGGCTTTGGGCTGTTGTGTTTTCATTTTCATTTGTTTCCATGTACTTTTTTTTCTTCTTTTTTTTTTTTTATCTGATTGTCCCAGTCACTGTTTAGTAGTGTGTTTGTGACCTTTCCAGTTTTTTTTTTTTTTTAATTCTCGTTAACATCTAGTTTCATAACGTGGCCAGAAGAGATGAGTAGTAAAACTTCAGTCTTTTTTAATTTGTTGGGGTTTGTTTTATGACCTAATTTATGACTTATTCTAAAGAATGTTCCATGTACACTTGAAAAGAATGTGTATTCTGCTCTTTTAGGGTGGAGTGTTCTTGAATATATCTGTTAAGTCCATTCAGTACAGTGTGTCATTCAAAGCTATTATTTCCTTGTTTATTTTCTGTTTGGTTGACCTATCCAGTGATGTAAGTGAGGTTTTAAGTCCCCTACCATTATTTTATTATAGCTTTTTAAAAAAAAATTCCTTTATGTTTATTATTAATTGTTTTATATATTTGGATGCTCCCTTATTGGGTGCATAAATATTTATGTATTATGTCTTCTTGCTGGATAGTCCCCTTTATTATTATATAGTCTCCTTTGTCTCTTGTCAAAGTCTTTAAGTCTGTGTTATCTGATATCAGTATTGCTATCCTGGCTTTCTTTTGACATCTATTTGTGTGGTAAATGTTTCTCCATCCCTTTACTTACAATGTGCATCTGTCTTAGGTCTAAAGTGAGTCTCTTATAGACAGCATATAGATGGGTCTTTTTTGTTTGTTTCTGGTTTTGTTTTGTTTTATCCCTATTTCACCCTATGTCTTCTGATTGGAACGTTGGGCCCTTTTACATTCAAAGTAATTATTTATAGATAGGTATTTATTGACATTTTATTACTTGTTTTGGTGGTTTCTGAAGATTTTATCTGAAACTTTCTAATCTTTCTCTCTTTTATGGTTGCCTGTTTTCTTTAGTGATATATTTGGATTACTTTCCCTTTATTATTTGCATGTCAATTATTGATTTTTGACTTGTGGTTGTCATTAGGTTTGTATATAACATCTCCTACCTATAGTAGTCTAGATTAAGCTGATGGTCAATTAAGTTTGAACCCATTCCTTACTCTTCTCCTCTCCACATTTTAGGTGTGTGGTTTCCTATTTTACATCCTTTTATTTTGTGAGTCCGTTGAGTTATAGCTTTTTAAAGAAATATTCATTTTTATTGCTTTTGTGCTTCTTACTTTCATACTGTCTTCCACTCAGAGTTCTCTTTAATATTTCTTAAAAGGCTGATTCAGTGGTTATGAACTCCTTTAGTTTTTGTTTGAATGTGTAAGTCTTTATCTCTCCTTTCATTCTTAATGGTAGGCTTCCTGGATAGAGCATTCTTGGCTGTAGGTTTTTCCCATTGAGCATTTTGAATATATCATGCTTATTCTTTCTGGCTTGCAAAACTTCTACTGAAAAATCCATTGAGAACATTATGGGTTTCCTTTGTATGTAGCTATTTTTCCCTCTTTGTCAATATGTTTTGCTGTGTTATTACAGTATGTGTTGGTGTGGCTTTGCTTTTGTTGGTTTTTGGGGGGAGGGGCATTCTGTGTGCGTCTTGGATCTGGATATCTGTTTCCTTCCCACATTAGAGAAATTTTCAGCTATTTTTTTTTTTCTTAAGATAAATTTCTTCTTCAAGATCTTTTCTCCTTCTGGGACTCTTAGATTGTGGATGTTACTACATTTTATGGAGTCACTGAGTTCCCCGATTCTGTTCTTATTTTGCATAATGCTTTTTTCTCTCCTTTGTTCAGCTTGATTACTTTCCATTACTGTAAGTTCTAGGACATTAATTCAATTCTCTGCTTCTTCCAGCCCACTCTTCATTCCATCAAACGTGTTTCTTATTTTGTATATTAAGCCCTTTATGTCCGCTATGTTATTCCCTGTCTTTGTGTTAATGGTCTCACTGATATCCTCCACTCTTTCCTCAAGACCAATGAGTATCTTTATGATCATTGCTTTAGATTGTCCATCAGGCTTGTTACTTAGATCTGTTTTGCTTCGATCTCTGGCCATGGTCTTGTCCTGTTCTTTCATTTGGGATAAATTTCTCTCTCTCCTTATTTTATCTAAATCTTTGTGCCTCTTTCTCTGTGTTAGGAAAGTCAGATATGTCTCCTGTTCTTGAGATAGTGGGTGTGTGTGTGTGTGTGTGTTGTGCTTGTGTTTGTTTAGTATTTATTTAGTATTTATTTTGCTTGGAGCTTTATTTGGTGCTTGCCATTAATTTTTGGAAGATTATCAGCCATTATTGCTTCAAATATTTCTTGTCTGTTTGCTTATTTCAAATACATATGCATGTTATATCTTTTGACATTGTCCCACAGTTTGTGGATGCTCTGTTCTTTTTAAATTTTTCTTCCCTATCCTTTTTTAATTTCAGTTTGGGAAATACCTTTTGATCTTTCTTCAGAACTGATGTCTAGTCTACTGAGGTCATTGAAGGCACAATTTGTTTCTGTTAAAGTGGTTTTGATTTCTAACATTTCCATTTACTTCTTTGTTAGAGTTTTTTTCTCTGTGCTTATCTTACTCATCTTTTCTTGCATAGTTTCTCTTTATTACATTAGTCCTTAAAATGTTAATCATAATTATTTTTAATTTTCTGATAATTCTCACATCTTTATCATACCCAAGCCTGGTTATGATTCTTACTTTGTCTTTTCAGACTTTTTTTTTTTTTTTTGGCTTTGTTATGCTCTGTAATTTTTGTTGAAAGCTGAACATGTTGGATACAGTAGTGGGAAATGAAGTAACTAGGTCGTTAGTATAAGGATTTATGTGTTAACATGCTGTTTTATTAATATGATTATTACATTAAACAATTATTAATTAACATATATTAACAGTTAGGAGTTGGGCGAATATAGCCAGGAGTTAGAGCTTTCCAGAAGCTTCAGATTCCTCTAGTGTCCTTGTTTTTGTCTTACCTTTTGACTTCAGGCATTCCTAAATACTCCTCCTCAGAGAGTCTGTGTGTTTTAGCTCTTTAGTCATCCACTGTTTTTATACTGTAATCCTGTAGTATGGTGTTAAGGTATATGGAAGGGTGAGTGTTCTATAATCTTCCACTTAAATCTCAGTCTTTTTGTGGATCTGTGTTATATCAAACCTTGATATGCATGTGTTTCTATAGTGGTATAGTTCTTTTTGTTCCTCCTTGCCCTCTATTTCTTGAATCTGTGACCACTGATTACTATATATATCCCTCCCAATTGGGTGAGACAGGAGGTCTGGAAAAAGCTAGGTAGGAGGAATTCCCTTTCCCCAGCAGGGCATTGGCAAAGGACTTTCTTCTGGAAAATAGCCAGTTGTTATGGAGGCGGCTCTTGGCTTGTTTTGCAGTGGTTGCTCTTCTGTTCCAGCTGTCAGAGACACTAGGAGATCTTCCTAGAAAAGAGGATAAGAACTTGGTGAGATTCTGGAAGAAAAAGTCCCTTCAGAATAGGGTTGTCCCTCTAGCTTCTCATTCTTTACTTGTTCATAATCAGTCTCCAGAAAGTCATCAAATCACACTAAAGCACTCCTACTGCTTTATTGTTCCATGTAAGTAGATATCACTTGATATTTCTTCATTGAGGCACCTTTCCAGATTTTGGGATGATGGTTTATCTGCAACTCCAGTTCCTTGATAGATTCAAGAAAAATTCTTTATTTTCAATTTGTATAGCTTTTTGTTATTGTAAAGATTGCAGTCATTTTTAATACCTTCACATGCAGGAGCTGAAACTGGAAGCTGTATGACTAAAAAAAATGAGTATATAAGAATATAAAACTTAGTATAACAAAAATATAGCATAGAGAAAATCAATTTTAGTAAGACCTAGTTTTTGGAAAAATCTGTTTGCAACCTAGATGACAGCTATATAACATATTGCTATGCAATACAAGAACTCTTACTGACACACAAGGTAAAAATGAGTTAGGAATATGATCAGTTAACAAAGAACAAACCAAAGGGCCAATAAATAAATGAAAAACTAAATTAATAGTTAAGTAACAAAACTTGAAAATATTAAATAATTGTAGCACTCATATTTTGGAAGAAACACAAATTGTTGCAACCTCTTTTGGAAAACAAACTGGCAGCAATCATTAAAGTAAAATGTACACAAACCCTTAACCCTAGACTACTCAATGTTCTATAACCATTCCATATAAATAAAAGTAGATCAGGGCATTCACATGGAAGTTGATAGCCTATAACTGTTAATAAAGTGAATACTCAATACTAGGAAAATGTTTAAGTAAATTGTGAAATAACCAAATTATGGGATATTTTGAACTCATTGAAATGAACAATATGAATTGGAGCTATATCACTTGGCTTGGAGGAATTGCCATAAATTATTTATGAATGAGAAAAGCAGAATGTTAAAAGTATGTTTAATATGATTATAATGTTGAAAATAGTAAAAATAAAAAAGCATATATGCTTATATCTACATAAAGAGTTTGTCAAATTTTTAAATTATTTTTATGATATGATTTTATATGGCAAAATAATAGAGCATAGGAAATTTTTATAATTTTTAAAAATTCCTCTATATGCATGGGAATGCTTGTATAATTTTGAATAAACAAGTTGAGATGTTTAGAAAAACACATAACAATTGACATGAGTTGGCTCAGAAGATGAAGGAGGGATGGAGCAAATGATAAACTTTTTCTTCATACATTTTGTATTCACTTTTTCAAAGTTTATATTAAAATACAAATTTGACAAAAGTCAAATATACAAGCTATGAAGAATTTTAAAAAATATAGTAATATACTTCCATAGATATTTTACTGACAATATCAGCCTGGATTTGGT